GAGAGAACATGTGGTGCCTTGTAATAAATAATTTAAAAGAAGGGAACCTTGAAGAAACATTTCTATTACTTATGGTAAGTGGGAAAACAACAACAGTGGCTGTGAATCAGTGATGTTGATGTTGAGGGAAAGGCACAAAGACAGGAGATTGAGATAACCAACAATCATAATCGGGGTTCATGGAATTTTAACTTTTTACCATATTTAAATTGGTAAGTGATTAAGTCATATTCTCCGGGCACTGAGTCAATTTTTGGTGGAGTTGTGAAAAGACTAAAACGCCTTCTTCCCCAGTTGAACGAAAACGAACCCGTCTTTTTCCCAAATGGAGGATTGTAGACTGTACAGCGTACGTCACAATTGGATGTGCTCCTCTACCTTTTGCCCATTTAACATGTGCTTATATTATATCCCATGGTGGGTCCTCACTCTTTCCTAATGGTGAATAATTATGTGTTAATGACTTAATGTAAAAGCAAAAACTCACGGAATTAACGGAGAATAAGAATATACTAGAGAATAAAAGGAACAAAAAATGGAAATAAAGGGCAAAAGAAACTTTCTTTGGAGTTAAAGATTGTTACCGCTATGAGCTACAGTTGCATGGACAGGAGTGAGCCAATACTTCCAGATGGGTTGATGTTTAATCTTTCAATTTCACGTGAAAAAAGTGGAATGAAAATCCCATGGAGTCAAGAAAGAGAACCCCCATCGCCGGAAATATGGTCTAAAAGATGAGATTTGAAGTGGACAACAATGGAGCCGGAAGGAATCCCAATCCAGAAAGTGGGTGGGTCAGTAGAAGCTTTTTCGTACTTCTGCACCGTTTCGTTACTGTCATTATTTTGAGGCTACGTTCCTTCTACGACAAGATTGTTTGTTTGAAATTCCATCCCCATTTAATACGGGGACTCTTAACATCTTGATTGATGAATTTCCAGCCTCTTGGTGGCAAAAAAGATAAAAAAAAAAGAGAAAAAAGTTGCAGCAAGCGCGGACAACCTAAATAGTTAAATAATAATTTTATTTTAATGAAAGTAAGAGATAAGATAAGTATTAAGTTATGGATTGAGATGGATAAAAAAATATGTATAATTTCATATCAAAATATATTTTTTATTTTTAATGTTGAAATTTAAATTATAAAAATTTACAATTAAAAATTAAAAATTAAAAATTAAAAATTTTTATTTTTTTTTCTTTATGGAAAATACTCTAGGAGACTTTCATTAAATAAGGGAAATTCCTTTGAGAAAATAATACATCTAGGATCTCAAACAAGGAGTTTAAAGTTGCTCGTGATGCGTAGTATGGTGTGCTAAGCTATGAGCATCCCTCCCCCCATGCCGAAATGAGATATAATTGAACTCAGCCCTCCCCACTTGTATATGTACAATAACCGATCTCCACTTATTAAAGCACTCTTCACTATCCTGAATTGCTACTCTGCGAATTTGATTGTGACTCCAGGGTCTTGATGGTTGTTGGGATTGGGCCCAACATCCTATCAAGGTTGTGCCCAACAAGCTCAGCGGTACATTCACGAGCCCCAAATTGGAGAGACATACACACATGAGCAATGACACGTGGACCAATGAGATGCATACACATGCAGGCTCATGTCAATACATGGGGCTATAAATACTTCCAACTACCTCCATGTAAGGTATTAACTCCACTATATTTCTTTCTCTGCAATTACTCTTTGAGAGCATCTCTCCCTAGAATATTGAGTATTGCTAACTTGAGCGTTGGAGTGTTTTCCCTGAGGAAACATCATCGAGAATTTCAGGTGTTGAAGTAGCCGAAGGTATCTATAGTGTTGGATTGTGAAGCTACCTAAACATTTGGCGTCGTCTGTAGGAACTTGAACAAAAAGCACGGTGATTTAATTAGCTTGAGCTAAAATGGTATGCATCTTTACAGGAAACCGCCCACTGAGAGGCAACATGGATGACTAGGACAATACTCAACTCTTGGAAAGTGACCTCAATGATGTCCAAACAATGCCGAGAAACCTCTTCGTTGGTGGGGCAGAGCAAAAATAATCAAACATTTCAGATGATGAAAGGACACCTACTGGATATGCAACTCAACCTGAAGAATAGTTTCACATTCTGGCTGAAGCAAGACGAAGGCATTCCAAGCATAATACTTCACGACTTGTTGAGAGACCCGTGGAATCTGCTCGGACAATCGAGTTGGAAGAAAGAACAAGAGTTTTAGAAATGGCCATGGGAAAAATCCTCTCTCGTTTGATCTCTGATGACCCCTTAATCCCCTTATTGAATAAGGGTTTGCAGCCAGCAACAATAGTTGCAACCCACAACTCCCCAGCCTTGAGCAATGTAGTGGTCCTAACCAAATCAAGAGGAAGTGGGAAGTTAAATCCAGAACCAAGCTTGTCCAGGCATAATGAAGAATTGCTAAAAAAGAATGCTGATCTTGAAAGATAACTTAAAGATATACAGAAGTCTATTGACGAGCTGAAAAGTTCCAGGTCGTGCCAACAAGCTCTCGACTTGGATAGTGCTTTTTTCAACTTGTCCATGACGGTAGAACCATATCAAGAGGGATTTAAGATTCCTCATTTAGAGACATACGATGGCTCGGGAGACCTGGATGAACATTTACATACTTATCAGGCCATCATGAGAATCTAGAATGCCACTGACGCTATGATGTGCAAAGTCTTTCCTGCGACATTGAAATCAACTGTTAGAAGATGGTACCACAAGCTCCTCAGACATTCTATAGCTTCCTATTTTGAGCCCGCCACTCTGTTTTCAAACAAGTTTGTGAGCCAAAAGGAAATTAAACGCACCGCTACTAAGCTGATACAGGTTCATCAAAAGGAGGGAGAGTCTTTAAGGGACTATATGCAACGGTTCAACAAGTCCACTCTAGACATTGATAATGTCCCTGATAACATCTGTCTATCTACTTTGTTGCATGGCCTCAAACCCAACCGGTTCCTAGACAACCTGCTAGAGAATCCGCCTAAGTCATGGAATGAAATAAATGACAAGTCGGCAAGCTTCATATTGTCCGAAGACTTTCAATCCTCTAAGCGACGAGCTGACGACAGACAGAGTAAAGAGGACAGAGAGAGTAAAGAGAACAGACAGCCAAAGGGAAGGGAGGAAAAGAAAAAACAGAAAGTTGGCGACTAGAGAGGAAAGCCACCCTCCTTCCCAAAATACGCCAGTTACATTCTACTGAACTTGTCAAGATCTTAGATATTGGCACAAATACAACACTGGGTCAAGAGACCACCTCCCCAAACGCATGATTCCCCATGAGCCGACAAGAGTAAATATTGTGACTATCACTGAGGATACGGCCACAACATGGAGGACTGTTAAAGCTTGAAGGATGAGCTGTAATTCTTAGCCCGCAATGGAAAATTGGAGGGATATGTACAGAAACCTTACGCCAGCAACCCAATCAGACTCATTTCATGCAAGAATATGGTTGATCTCAAGGGCAAGGATATCAACTCGGCAACAATCAAAACCCTTATCAGGGGAGTCAATACTCATCCGAACCTAATAGAGCCTACAAAGGATGCCCATTTAATAGACGAGGACAAGGACAGAAAACCTCTACACAAAGTCAAAAAGATCGTAGAGGGGTCGGTTACAGCGGCATACCCCCACCTTCTGGCACAATCAACATGATCTTTGGTGGCATACATTTAGGAGGCCAAAGTGCTCGCAGTCGTAAAGCTTATGCTCGCCAAGTGATGACGATAAACAAGAATAGACCTTTGAAACGACCTTTGAAGAAGCAGAATGGGAAAATGCACCAATTACATTCAGCACGGCCGATTACAAGCAGTCAGAGGGAGAACCAAACGTTATGATGCCCCATGTTGACCCTTTTGTGGCAACAGTTCATATTGGCAATCATAATGTCAACAAGGTCTTCATAGACATGGGCAATTTTCTTGACATCCTCTATTGGAGCTGTTTCCAGAAGATGCAGCTAAACCCGAGTTCCTTGAGAAAGTATGAGGGGCCAATATATAGATTTGACAATCAGCCCGTCACTATTGAAGGAGTAATTACACTTCCCATCTATGTGAGCGTTGAACCATGGTTTAGGATGGCGTCAATAGATTTTCTAGTGGTTAAGATGGAGTCAGCTTTCAATGCTATAATTGGAAGAGCTACACTTTGCGAATTGAAAGCTGTTATCTTTCAACCACACTTATGTATGAAGTTCCTAACTCCTCAAGGTGTAGGAGTGCTCAAAGGGAACTAGAAAATGGCTAGAACCTGCTACCAAGATACATTTAAGAAGGTTGAGCTCGCAGTAACAACTAAGACCTTTGGTGCAGATGTTTCCAGACTAATCCAGCTAGGTCAACAAACTATGAGCATATTTGACATAGATCATCAACTTGAGAATGTGGAACAGAAAGCCGAGCTAGTAGAACCAGTTGAGATAGTTCCTTTAAGCCTAGATGAACCAGATAAAACAATGAAAATAGGAACTGAACTCACACTGGAAGAAAAAACCAAGCTCTTGGAATTTTTGAAAGTTAACAGGGACATATCTGCGTGGACAACAGATGAAATGCCTGGCATACCAATAGAATTTGCAGTCCACAAGCTTAGTACAGATCCCACCAGGAAGCCAGTGGTTCAAAAGCATCGCCTTGTGGGCCCTGAGAAGCAAGCTGTTATAGATGAAGAAATCCCAAAACTATTATAAGCAGACTTTATCAGGAGAGTTGAATATTTTGAGTGGGTATCCAACCCTGTGCTCATCAAAAAACCCAATGGCAAGTGGAGAATGTGTATCAACTTCATCAATTTGAATGAAGCGTGTCCCAAAGATGTGGACCTCTTGCCTAATGTGGAAAAATTGGTAGAACGAGCAATGGGACATGAATGCATGAGCTTCCTTGATGCTAGCTCGGGATAACATCAAGTTCAATTACTGTTGGATGACCAGGAAAAAATAGCATTTTATGCGGGTGATGCGATTTATTGTTATGTAATGATGCCGTTTGATTTGAAGAATGCCGACGTGACATACCAAAAGTTGGTCTAGGTCGTCTTTAAGCTACAGATTGGCCGGAATATTGAAGTATATGTGGATGATATGATTGTCACCAGTCTTTGAGTTGAAGACCATGTTGACGACCTGAATGAGACATTTCAAAATTTACGACGGGCGCAGATGAAGCTAAACCTGTTGAAATGTACATTTGCTGTGGAATCAGGCAAATTCCTGGGATATGTGGTATCCAAGAGGGGGATCGAGGTGAACCCAGAGAAGGTTGAGGTCGTGCAGCAAATGGAATCCCCTAAAACAATAAAGGATGTACAACGTTTAACAGGTTGCCTTGCCACTCTACACAGGTTCATTGCTAGGTTGGCAAAAAAATGCCTCCCATTCTTCAGAGCTTTGCGAGAGCCCAAGGACTTTCAGTGGACTGATGAATGTCAACAGGCTTTCGAGGAACTCAAGCAATAACTAGAATCACCACCTTTGCTCTCTAAGCCTATTGAAGGAGAGACATTGTACCTATATCTGAGGGTTGCAGATGAGGCAGTCAGTTTAGTCCTCTTAAGAGAGTAAGATAAACACTAGAAACCCATCTGTTACACTAGTAAAGTCTTATGGGATGCTGAACGAAATTATCCAATAGCCGAAAAGACTGTTTTTGCACTCGTCTGCACCGCTTGAAAACTAAGAGCATATTTTCAATCCCATGAGATTGTTGTGTACATCGACTTGCCATTGCAGAAAATATTACAGAAATCGAAACTATCTGGTCAGCTGATTGGATTGGCGGTCGAGCTGAGTTAGTACAACCTCAAATTTCAGCCGCGCACAACCATTAAGGGCCAAGCTTTAGCAGATTTCTTGGTAGAATGTAGGCGGACGGCTGCAAAGGAAACCACATAACCATACCTAGTATGGGCTCTATATGTAGATGGGGCAGCCAATGTCAAAGGATTAAGAGCAGGAGCAGTGCTGCTAGGTCCAGATGGTTTCAAATCCGAGTATGCCTTAAGGTTCAAATTTCAGACAACGAATAATGTCGCTGAATATGAAGCACTTATTTATGGTTTGAAGTTGGTGTCTGACCTAAAAGCATAGAGTGCAAGAGTCTTTAGCGACTCTCAGCTCATAGTAAATCAAGTAAATGGAAGCTGTGACATCAAAGATCCTCAACTCGGTCGATATGTGTCTGTGATCAATAAATTGAAATCAGGCGGATAACCGACGAGCTGATGAGTTATCAAAATTAGCTTCCTCACAAGACATCAACCCTCAGAGGATCACATTAGTCGAAATACTAGATGCACCGAGCTATACCAGTCTAGTAGTTGAGTGTCAAGTACTAAGCATAGATCCCTCCTCACTGAGCTGGACTACACCTTTGATTGATTACTTATGAACTAGTCAACTGTCAGAAGATCCATCTGACGCTTGGTTAATTAGACGCAAGGCAGCACATTTTACACTGATTGAGGATCAATTATACAAGTGAGCAGCTTCAATGCCTTTGTTACGTTGCCTCACTCCTTATGAAGCTGAATATGCTATAAGA